GATTGAGATCAATGTTTGACAAAAAAGGAATGTTACTGTAGGGATATGCAAGTTTGATGGGAAGAAATTTGCATTATGAAGGATGCAGATTGAAGATTATCTTTACAGTAAAAAATTGTATCATCCTCTTTTAAATGATAAGTTGGAAGGAATGAAGGACGATAAGTGAAAACTCCTTGATCATTAGGTGTTGGGTGTTATCGGATTAACACTAATGAAAAATGTTGGTCACAAAGTGACGACGGAGAAAATCACGATGAAATTTGACAAATGTATTGTTCGATATGTACAAGAAGCTCTCTGCAGGTAACATGGTACATTCGATGAGAGTCCAGACTTAGTACTACAGCAGATTTGTGGGTCCACACAAAAACAGACTTCATCCCCAGACTTTGAAAGAATTGATGCGTGCCCAAGATTGGTTGTGCCTTCAACATCATCGTATGTGATATATAGTTAGAGTACTTTGATATTTGTTATTCTTGTAATTTCGTCTATTATTAACAATTTTAGAGAGAAAAATCTCCAGCTTCGTCACCGTGCACTAATGTTGTACTAGTATCGATGATGAGGAAATGGACGAGGACGCAAATTGATCTTTTTAATAAAAATTTCAATCTATGTTTGCTATTTGTCCTTGGAGTTTTCATATTAATTGTAATTTTCATTTTCTTATTATAAGTGAGTTTTGAAAATGCAAAGAGGCTTCATGTTGTTAGCATTATTTTGTTCTTAACCTACTTTTTATTTATTACACAGGAATCAACTATGAGTCTTTCACATATACTCGAGGAGAACAATGATGACTAAAATTGAAAGAATTTTGGGTTTTTGAGAATTTATATTTTTTCCATTCTTGAACTTTGTTAGTCAAGTGTTACAAGATTAAATTTTTGTTTCATCGTAATTGGTTGTTTTGTTGGGATTTTCTTGAACAATATAATGCTTATTTTTTGTATCATATTGTGTACTTGTTTAAACCACTAATTTCGCAAGATTCACATAAGAACATACTGTGCTTCGCAACATTCCATTTTTCTTAAGTCACATAATATTACTCCTTTAGACATGCCATAATTGCTATAGAATATACAATATGATACAAAAATAAGCATTATATTGTGCACGTAACAATAATATATCTAAAAATGTCAAGAAACTACAAGTTATATTATAGCAACACAACGTCTTACAATATATTGCCTTACATTTTGGGGAAATAAATTAACAAAAGACTATAAATTGCCAAACGTGAATTTTCATTATTTAGTAATATGAAGTGATCGGAAATAGAAATTTGAAAATAATAAAAAGGATTTTGGAATTATACCTTCAAATACACACGGATGTTATTTAATTATCCAATTGTTTCTATAATAAGTCCCTACATTTTAGTAGCTATTTAATGACTTGGAGATAAATATATATCTTGATTGCAATCGGTTACCTATATTTATGTTTTGGGTTATTTAGTAATTTCGAGATTTTATGTTAAAAGATAGAGTATTTTAGGAATAAAATAAATGTGTTAGTGTTTTTGGAATTATCTTTCTATATTGGGTTATACTTGAAAATTTTGGAAGGATCCCTCCTTTTTTTTTTGGTTGGATGGAGTTGGAGTTGGAGTTGGAGTCGGAGTTGGAGTTGGAGTTTTGGATTTGTTTTTGGGTTTGGGTTAGAGATTGGGTTGTAAGGGTATTAATGGAAATTTTCACATATTAAAAGGATAAGGGTAATTATATTCACATCACAATTTTTATTTTTTGTATCACATTTTAAATTGCACTTAAAGTTTCTAATCTTCGTTCAACACTTATATTCCAATGATTTTTCACGTCATTCTTATCCTCAAACTTTTCATAGTCTATATATTTTGTATTTAATAACAGTTTTATATCCAAAAGTTCGTTGAAATAACGTAAAACAACTTATTTTCTCGTCATATTTTTAAAATAAATAAATAAAAAGTGCAAGAGATATTTTTCTTTATTTCAAAGTATGAAAATAAAATATTTTGATAAAATAATGCTATCTAGTACCAGTTTAGGAGACTACATTTTATAGGTTCGGTTATATGAGTTGTTTGACTTTACATTTAAATAAATCTATTATTTAATGTATATAATTGTCACCTTGTGCTTAACATTAGTGATGATGCATAACATTATTTTTTTGATATAAATCATTATCAAAGATGAGATATACTAATTAGTGGAATGTTGAATATAAGAATTCGACAAAAAGAAGTTAAGAAATAATTACTACAATGAGCAAAGATCTAGGAGTTTAACTGCAATTAAAATGTAATATAGCAACTAAAAATTGTGATGGCAATATAAACACCAGAAGGATAATTCCAAGAACACTAACACAATTATTTTATTCCGAAAATACTATGTCTCTGTTTGGAGCAAATTAAAATTTAAATTTTAATCTAAATTAAAGTCAACAATTACTTTTATTCACATATTTTATCAATTTTTATCAAAACCTAGTAAAAATTGGATTTTAATCCCACCAAATAGAGATTATATTCAGTAATATAAAATTTCCAATGATCCAATTAACCTAAATTTAATTTCCTGGTTGCAGTCACGATGAAATTGTTTTGTTAATTATTTGACCCGCAGACATGCCCTTAAATTCGTTCATTTCTATTCCTGAAGGTAAATGTATTTAATTCATAAAATGGAACAAAAGAAAGGTTCAATTAACTTGTACCATTATAAAAAAGTCGAAATACATCAATTTTTATTTTTATTTATTTAATTATTATTATTATTATTTTATTTTTTTGGGTACCAACAAAAGTAAGATAAAAACTCTTAAATTACAGAGTGCGGAAGCATCATTTCGTTTGCACCAATGCTACTCAAACAGGGGCCATGTATAGGGTTATCAACAGGGGATTCACCTCTGCTCTTGATTTGAATTTCGAGGGCTCAGGTGAATCTACCTCAACCCTTGTTTAAAATCATATTCATAATCCCTGTTTGAATAGCATTTCTTGGATAAAGATTATTTACGTTGTCAACCCAACCAAAGTGGACTCACACTAGCTTCGAGATCGTTCACCTTTACTGGCTAGCTAATTTGGGAGAGTCTTCGGATGGATTTTGCTACGCTTAGTCGGGGTGATTATTTAACTTTAAAAAAAACACCATTTTTACTTCTCTCCATATAAATTTTTTATTTTTATATCTCGAATTTCGAAGTTGATATCTATGGGTACAGGAAAATACCCACAGAATGCGTACAGAAATTTGAAATTGCTGAGTTGGCAGCTTGCATTTAATTTACCCAAAAAACCGAGCCAACTCCGAAATCGGATTGAACCCAAAAACTTAAGCTGCCTTTTCTCCAAATTGAAATTATAAATTCACAATTCCCCCACAACCCCAAATCACAGAGCCTGCCCCGCCACTTTCTTCATCCCAAACTCGAAGCAAATCCGGCAGCCCAGTGATTGTCCCCGCCTTCCGACGGGGGGGAAAGAGCATTCATCGCAAGATTTTCTATCCCATTGTTTTGGCACGCGAATAAAATCTCCCACAAGCGATTTCGGGTCCCGCCTTCACAGCCCCCGGTACCGGTTCACAAGGTTCGTTCGCTTACTTCATCTGAAAGAAATAAATTCCTACCTTCTGATACAAGATACCATGTGTGATTCTTTGGGTTTTAGGAATGAAGATTTTTTGGTTGTAGATATAGTTCAAATTTTCTCGTATTTCGTGTCAAAGGAGTCGAAGATTCTTAGGAAATTAAAATGTAGTTTCTTGAATTACATCGTCGCTCTCTGTCTCCTCATTTACTTTTCTAAGCTCTCAATATTTTCGCTTTTGTAATGGAGATAGTATCTCCATGTTTATGAGCTTCTTTGCTAAATAACTTTTTATCACATGCTTAAACATCAATGGAGCAAGTGGGTCGAGGCGGCCCTTTTTGTTCCGCTGCCCTATTGGTGATTTTTGGGAGGTGGTGTGGGACTAAAATATTCGCATTTTTCGATTGGTTTACTTATTTGTTATATTCTTTATTACAGTCAAGATGGGAACATAGTCCTCGCCTCCACACCACACTGACAGGAGCAAAGCATTGATTGTCATAGACTTATTTGAGAACAATTAGTTTTAGGAATGAAGATTGTTGGTTGTAGATATAGTTTGAATTTTCTCATATTTCGTGTCAAAGGAGTCGAATTATGTTTGATGCGTGAGTCGTTTAGGAATGGAGTTGCATTCATGGTAGTTTATTTGTGTCTTCGACAGTTGTTGATTAGAATGAGAGCACCGTTAATGAAGCGGTGAATCATAGCCAAACGAAGAATATGAAGACTTGCCAAGAATTTTCAACAGTTTAGCTCGAATTATTGAGAAATGAGACATCGACATATCATTGCACATAACATTTCGCAAAGAAAAAGGAATTTTTGAATGTGATGAGAAAGGAAAGGGACCGACTTGAATGGGTGATGTCAAGTATTTGCTATATGCTTTGTTTGTAACGTAGGAACTTACAAAAATTAGTTTCTTTTCTAACGTATTAACTTTTTGAATTTAGTAGGCTTTAATGTACAATGTTTAATTTTGTCAACATCGTTCGAGCGTTGGACATAAGTTTATTATTTTGCGAATCATTGTAATATATTAACGGGTTGGATTTATGTTTCTTATNCAACATCGTTCGAGCGTTGGACATAAGTTTATTATTTTGCGAATCATTGTAATATATTAACGGGTTGGATTTATGTTTCTTATTTTTTTTGTCTTGCGAACCATTGTAATATATTAATGGCGTGGATTTATGTAACATTTGCAGATTGGCCGTTGCTGTAATTACGTATTTGCATGGCATATTTGTCATTGGAAATATAAATTTATGTAGTTTTGACTGTTCAATTTACGGATCAAAGTTTATGACACAATAATAGACTTAATGACTGATCATTCTATCCACTAATTCCTTAATTATTAGAGTATTTGGATGGAAAAAACACAATAATAAAAGGTATTCTCGTTTCTTTGTCAAAGTCTCCATTAGCAAATTTACTTTAATCAACATGTCCCAAAATGTTTCAGTACTACATTTTTGAAAAATTATGACAAAAGCACATTACAAGCTTAATTTCTCATCTTTCAAAAACATTCTTGCACTGACATTATTGATCCCAAGATGTAGCTCGTGTTGCCTCACGTGACAAATGTCCCGATTTTTCATCACACAAAATTTACGAAGTGGAGTAATATTATCTTTAGAAGTGGACTCCTTGTGCTGTTGCCAGATGAAACTCTTGTCATGCAGCTGAGAGAGTTGGTTCTGTAGAAAATAAAGTGTGAAAATTTTAGGTTGCTGTTAAAGAAATCTACAAGATGATTTGTACTAAAATAAGAAACTGGTACAGTGTAAAAAATGGCACATGACATTATCTCATGATAACCATGCATAAATGTACACATAACGCCTTTTTGACGACTAATATTGTTTTATAAAATAACCTAGGCAGAAACGCGCATTCTTGATCATTGAATATTACAAAAACAAAACACAGATCATTCATAAATGTGTGCAAATATACCTTTCCAGCTAGAATCACAAACTTGGGGCACCTTGATCGGGGAACAGTTGATAGTAATATGGCATGATATCACCTAGAGTACAAGATGAGAATTAGTATATGCTTTAAACCTGTATGACGATACATTCATTATAACGAACTACCTTTGTATTTACCTTGAGCGTTCACAATTCCATTCGTATTTATGAATTTCTATAATGAGGATACTATTTTACTACACTCTTGCACTTAAATTGAGTAAAATATGGATACTTTTTTCACCATCATTCGGTTTCTAAATTGGCTACAAATTCAACTATTAACTGGATAAACCAATGTGTGAGCTAACCTACTTACAACCAAGAACCACAACACCTTTATCCATAATCTAGGTTTCGACTACCTTCTTCAATGTACGAGCTAACCTATTTAGAATCAAGAAGCAAAATAACTTTGTCCATAATCTATGTTTCGACTGCCACTTCAAATGTTAAGCCTTTTTATATACTATATCTATTTCTCTTGGCTCCTTGTCCAAATGGCAGTGGACACTACTAATTTCTTTTCTTTGCTGGTGGTATGAGTTCAATTGTAGCTGAAGGTTATTAATTATATAGGTGGGAAGTTTGTTGAATCACATGCATGTGAAATAATTGATGTTATAAATCCTGTAAGCTTTATCTTCGGAATCTGATACATAATAGAAAAGAACTCGACTGCCACTTCAATGTATGAGCTAATTTATTTAGAACCAAGAAGCAAAATACCTTTTTCCATCATCTACGTTTTGACTTCCATCTTCAAATAGGATTTCGATGTTGGGTTTCGGTGGGATTTCGTCTTCAAGCTAAGATCGACAGTGCACAGCAGTCAGTTTGTCGGCGGGGACAATCACGAGTTGCCAGATTTGATCTTTGGGTTCGGGATGAAAGAAAGCGGCGAGTGTGATTTGGGGTTTTGGGGGAATCGTGAATAATTTCAATGTGAGGGAAAATGCAACTTCAGTTTTTGGGTTCAAACCGGTTTTGGAGTTGGCCCGGTTTTTTGGGCAAATTAAATACAAGCTACCAACTCAGCAATTTCAAATTCTTGTACGCATTCTGTGGGTATTTTCCTGTACCCATAGACTTATTCTATTACATTCTTCCCCATTTGAATCTCATTACATTAAATTTCATTACATTCCATTTTTATCTTTTTTTATTTTCAACCACAGAATCTTCCACAAAATAAAGAAATTATGATGTTTATAACCTATAATCTAGTGGCAAAGATTTCATGACAAGGAAGCAACTCCTTGTGCATGTTTTCCAGGTTCTTTCTATAGGGATATCCATATTTGACAGAGTTTTGAGATTCATTATTCAAAATTTATTTAATTTTCTTTTACTCATTTTCAACTACACATTCACGCAATAAAATATTTTGCGCGTCAATCCAAATTTTTCTACTTTTTAATTACACAACGTTAAAGTTTTTTGTAATGTTCATTGAACGTTGTCTTTATATTTTCTGCAACGGTCAATGAGTGTTGTGTTAAAGTTTTTTGCAACTTTCATTAAATTTTGTCTTTATATTTTTGTAACAGTCAGTGAGTGTTGTCTTAAGCTTTTTCGCAACATTCAACACACATTGTCTTAAGGTTTTTCGCAACGGTCAAAGACCGTTGTCTTTGTCTTTTTTCACAATATTCTTTGAACGTTGCCTTTACCTTTAAATGGATGCTACCGTTTTTGTTCTCTCTCTCTCTCTCTCTCTCCCCCCCCCCCCCCCCCCTCTTTCTTCCCCCCCCCCCCCCCCTTTTTAAACATTACATGTTCCACAATCCTGTTTTTCCTATTTCCATATAAAACATTGACCAATAATCAATCAAGACAAACATTATCTATTTGCACACAAATTATACAAGGGGACTGAAATAAAAATTATAACTTCAATTACGAAACATTTGATCCCTACACAATAAACATAGAAAACGTAATACTTTTGCAATATTGCTTCTTCAAAACACCTCAATAAACACTCTCTAATCCACCGCTCAACATTGTCTTTCACTACATCCACAAAAATAATCTTAGCACTCAAACCCTCATGCCCCAAAACTTGAAGCTCCTCTAGAGTAGCTACATCTTCATACAATTCCTTGTGCTTTTTATCCCGTCGATGGCGATAATAGGAAGAATGTCACAAGTTATTGCTAAAGTGCTTTTTATCTCGCCCAAGTGGCATGCGGTGCACTTTTGCGCTTAGATTGGTTGATGCAATCTTCCCTTCAACTACAATTTCTTCCTCATCATACGAGTACCAATGTAATAGTTGACACCTTGCATTTTCCAAATGTGCACTACCTCCTTGGATACCACTTCGTTGTTGGGACTACAAATTCACAGTAAAATGAACATATTCTCTTTAAAATTAGTATGCTATAGTCTGAATTTATATTGAGGAAGTGAAAAATTATATAAGATACAAAATCTGAGGCGTAAATGCGCGTGAACTCATGTCTTCTACATTCTTATTTTAACTCTGTAAAATAATACCAAAAGTAGAAAGTTATTATACGTACTAAGTTACTTAAAACCATGTTATCATATTATATGTAACGATAAAGTACATAGACCTGAGATAACTTGAGAAGCGCTTCAACTTTTGCTTCTAGTGCTCCCACTCTTTCTGACTGCGTTTGTAGTTGACTTTTAAGTTCCCTCACTCGAGAATTGCTTTGAATTTGTCCATTGACTTTTGATGGTGTAAGTCCAAATCCAAATCCCCTTACTCTTCCACGACGTTCAGGACCTAGAACTCGAGTAACGACATCATCGTGAATAAAATCTTCTACTAGTGTATCGAAAATAGATTGGGCGCAATTTTCTATCTTTTCTGCACTTATGGAACTTAAATTATATTCTAGCTTGTGATACATATAACAAGTTTAACTGTTATTAACAAAATGTTGATATTATACAAATACCAAAGTTTTGGCAACCGCTTCATATATAGATTAGAAAATTAAAAAAAAAAAGATTAGAAAGACTTACGATATAGATTGTCTCGTCGTCGTCGTGGTGTCCCGCACGATGGCTAGTTTGTCATCCACAGTCAAGCCCACATGTCTAGCCATCATAGGAACGATCACAGTCATCGGCTCTAAGATCTGCTCGAGCTGTTCCTGTGTGAGACATGAATGATGGGGGTCGTACACATATATCATCGAATCAGTGAACACGATCTCAGTCAATACAGTGTTGATTCGTGATAACTGGAATGCACGAATGCGTACAACCCTTCCATGGCTTTCCCCCAACACTCGGTGACAGCCCGATGACCCACTCGAGCATATACGCGGGAAGCACTTACTTGTTACCTAGAAGCTGGAGGGACTGATACTCAATGGTAACGGCACGGAAGAACTCGGTATTCAGTATAATGCGGCCATGCTTGTGGAATGATTGTGGATATCTCTCAACTCGATCGCGCAACAAGTCCATGGCCATGTCGATGTGCTACATCAAGGAAAACAAAGACATAAATACTTATTTCATTTACCAAATTAAACATAATGTATACAAAAAGTAACATTAACACTTCACTTGCATCGTCGACGAGTCAAGCCCCCTGAGTGGTGATATCATTAAACCATTTGTATGCGTCCAATATCGTCCTTCCGGCTATCGTGTGCGTGGCTTTGAAAATGAAATAGAAAAGACGTTAAACGAAGCATATACGAGTAATTCTAGTCTACTAAATCATACAATACTTACCCGGGCAACATTCTTCGCCACTCAACCTCGAATACTTTCCACTTCGGATGGTCGACCTCTCGGAACAGATTGGGGTACGTCCCATCGACGAACCTCCTCCTCTTCGCCTCAGCCGTGAAGGGAAAGACGATATACTGTGACGGCACTCTAGGCCTCTTGCCGACCACCGTCTCCGGCATGTCAATAGCACACTTTTTTGCTTGATACACTGCCACTTCCTCCACCCCAGGGCTCGCCACCTCCTCCATCCCCTCATCTGCCACGGTCTCTGACGTGGCCACTCCCTCATCTGTCACTCCAACATCTGCCTCCATCTTCGTCCCCGACGGAGCCACTCCTACATCTGCCACCGTCTCCGTCCCCGACGGGGCCACTCCCTCATCTGCCTCCGTTTTCCTCCCCGACGAGCCCCCCTCCTCTGTCACTACTCTCGTCCCATCGCGCTCCACGGATAAAATAAACAATTCCCATGCATCATCATCATGTATGTATGACTATCGGAGAACCCCATCTCTATCACCCCCATTCCTATCACCCTCTCGATCACCCCCTCGATCACCATCTCCGTCAACCCATCGCCTACCAACTATATCACCTCGAAATGCTGCAATCTCATTCGACAAACCTTCGACCCTTCCTACCAACTGTCGTCCCAGATCATCAACCCTCTCTATCATCTCTTGACGCAACCCGTCGACCTGCCCCTCTATAAATCTGCTCAGACGGGTGTATAGATCATCAAAATAGTGCCCATGACTACATTCGGGAGATCCACATGAGAGGTCTCTGGACGGGGGAGGCGGAGGAGATGCCCTCGACGACGAGGAGATGCCGTCGACAGCATCTCCGGCGGAGGAGGAGATACTGTTGGCGGCATCTCCGATGGAGGAAGAGATGCCCTCAGTGGAGGTGGTGATGCCCTCGACGGAGGTGATCTCGATCAACTGGATCACGCTCCTACACAAGCAACAACATTACAAATTATTAACTTCATTCGTAAATGCTAACTCATACAAAACGGTAATGAATAGATTTTATTTAATTCGCTCACCCAATCTCGATCGTGGATTGGATTTGACATATGTTCATCTTTGGTGTGCGAAACACCTAATTCATGCACAAGACCCTGAGCCTCCTCCTCCATTGATGGGGTCAACTCAGTTATGACTTCAAGATGACATATTAATATTTGAACTAGTTAACGATCATGCAATCAGATGTTCAATCTCATTCGACAATATAAATTACAAATGCATAATACTCACCTAAGGGTCGTCCAAGATAGTCGATAACTGTTTCCCAGTGGAACATCCCTCCGATCGAGATGCTCTCCAATGGTGCATCCGAGGGCAGCATGTCTTCCTTCGCCTCGCAAATCGGGCACCCAATATGGGGATGGCCTCATACACCCAAATCTGCAACACATACAGTTATTATATATAAATTCAATATGAAAATAATTTTAACATTCATTATGTTAACCATTTACCTACACTGCCAGGGGCAATCCATAGGTGTCGTACTTACGCATGGCTCCCTTCAGCTTCGAGTGCGATCTGGTGAAGATGTGGACAATGTCTTCATAACATCTCTGACCCCACGGACAGTCGTTGAAACAATCGATATCGTCAACTATCTCCAGATGGAAGAGGTCGATCGCAGTTTTCTTATGGTGACACCGCACCACGCTCTCAAGGATGTAGACCAGACCAAATTTCAGTCTGTCTAACATCTGATCACACCTCCTGATTGCGTCCAACAGCTGTCCCTCGAAGTAAGCATTATGAAGCCTATTTCTTCTCTGAGTCCCACCACCAGCTGCTTCATCGCCCGTAATCTTTAATCCCGTGATCAGAGCAAACTCGAACATCGAAAAACTGGCGATTTTACCCCCAATTGCAAAGTGGAGGACATCGCTGTCGACTAGACTTAGCAATCGACATAGAAGTGTATCAATAATCTGACCCGAGTATTGCAGATCTCTCAAGGGGTACAAGGGCCACAGGAAGGACTGACGCAGCATATCAGCATGCCGATCATCAAGCAGCTCTAACACAGCTGTAAAACTATCAAAGCTACTATTCCACGTAATTTTGCCTGGCATCTGTCTCAACTCTGCGTCAAGATGATAATCCATCCTGTACAAATTCAAAATGTTAGAACATTGTATAAATCATAATAGTAATAACAGAAAATTTAGCGAACGAAATTGTAACTACAATGAGCAAAACGCAGATTCATAATAATTAAAAT